CCTTTGTACTCATTGTGCGTGCAGAGGAACCCACTCAGGAAAACCTTCACTAGCTTTGTGCGGCACAGCCATATCATGATAGATTTCAGAGTTCAACAAAATAGTTCAATTATTACCAGAATGTTTGCTTTACTCGTAACTCTGACCATTATGATGGTTTATGGTTCGATGGATTTGTCATATTTTTCTTCTTAGTCAATGTGTTGTGAGTGATGTTACAACTCCTTGACAACTGATACTTCCTGTTGGGTTTTACATGATGAAGCAGGCAGTGACGAAGAACTTGAACTTCAAAAAGTAAATTAATAAAACAGCTTGTGAATGTGAATTAAACAACACTTCGCCCTTTATTTTAAAAACATCAACACTAAAACAATATATGGCACTGTCCAGGCCTCTGGCTTTCTGTACTGCTTAAACCAGTGACTATCTTCTTGCTACGTGTTATATGTATTTTTAGTTTTTGTCTTTATTTCCATTTAAAGTATTGTGAGTTGCATGTTTTAATTTTTTGTTTTTAGGGTGAATTTAAAACATTTCTCCAGGTACAATAGCTGAAAAATAGCCTCTTGGCATTAACATAAATGTATTTTAATGTGCTCTGTCCCTAAAACATTTGCAAATAATAAATGAATATTAGCAGCTGAAGGAATATTTTAAACCAAAGTATTTCATTTCAAAATTACTAATTAAATCACTATTCTGCTGCAAGTGTATAATCACTTTGATCTGTGGTGAATCAGTGCTGATGCTGTTTAAAAAAAAGGTTAATGTCAGGGAGGGATCAACCTGCTGGGGGCGAAAATGATCCTATGGGTCTCTTTTAATCACTCTAGCCCAATAATACATTAATTATCCATCTGACATTTACAAAGTTTAACACAAATATGTGAGGAAATATGAAACATGTAGGCATAAGAGTTAGACTGTATTTAACATTTCTGATCTTCAATACTACCCCTTCCACTTTAAACTTGGGTATACTGCACATACTTTATTTTCTAAGTTTGAATAATAGCTCTATAATTGATAATTTTTTACAACCTAATTCCTCTAGCTGTGTTCATGTATGAGCTATTACACACCAGGGCAAATTACTCGTATGTGTGAATCTATTTGGCAATAAACCTAATTCTGATGCTGTGATAGACTGTAGTGTTTCATTCCGTAGTCTGGGAATGAAACCCTCCTCAATTTCTGATATTATGTTCTTAACTTTTTGATAGTATGTCAGCTGTTCTGGTATCTCTTCCATCTCTGATAACAACATGTTCTATTCTGAGAATATTAGGGATTGGTTGACTTTGGAGGGAGTTGCATATGTGTGTGTGTGTGTGTGTGTGTGTGTGTGTGTGTGTGTGTCTATCCGGCTCCCTGTAGTCCTACTATTGGTCTTCTGAGTGGGTGGTCTGTTCCAAGAGAGGAGCACTGGAAACATTATACACACACACACACACACACACACACACACACACACACACACACACACAGGGAAAATGGGAATCACACCAACGCAGCACAGCAGAGGGTGGAGCAGGCAGGAGCCTTATTCCAGATGTGCGACATTAATTTATAGATGATCCAAAAACATGAACCGGTAGCTCCCACTCACACTCATTCACCACTGGGGTGTGTGGTTGCGAGTGTGCGAGTGTGTGTGTGCTGTAGAGAGAGAGAAACATTCATGCTAACTTTTTAATATTCTCTCACACTCAGAAATATACCTGCAGGTTGACATTTTCATATATTTTTGCATAATTTGGGTGACTTGCCAACTGAGGAAAGAGCGGAGGATAAAATTCCCCTTCTTGAGTTGAAGGTGGAGGAAAAGATGGAGCTGAGAGGACGAGGTGTGTGATTAAAAAGAGGGGAAAAGATGAGGAGCGGAGCAGGTTATGAGAACAGTCTCCACTCTGACCTATGGAGCTGCGCCCCTGGACTTTCATACAATACTTTCCACCGGGGAGGCGAGGGGGATACGGTGCAAGGAAAGACAAAGACAAAGAGGGAGAGAAAATTAAATTAAATAAGAAGAGCGGAGGAGGAGAATAAGAGAAGATTTAGGAGGACGGAAGTGGTTGATTGGGTCCCCTCTGAGATTCCTTTGTTTAGATTGTTCTGCATTTCACTTTTCACTCTCTCCCCTCCACCTCCTTATTTTTCTGACATCTGAGGTAGATTACAACAGAGACCCTGGGTCACATTTATGACTTAAATCAAGAACATATGTTGCGAGTGTGTGTGTGTGTGTGCGCGCGTGTTTGTACATCCATTTCAGTGGGATTCCCCTCCGGTCCCTGAGTGGTGGTCAGATTTATTTTCTTGTCCATTGTCTCTTGCTGGGACATCAAAGGACCATTGTTTGTTGATCAGCGAGGGTGCTGCAGGTTACTCACAGGTCCCGTAAGAGAACGCTTGGCCTCTCCTCCACATCTCCCCTTCTTATCTCCTTTTACTGAAACTGACCTTCTAAGCATGTCGGATCGCCGCAGAGAATTCCTGACACAGTGGATCAGCGCAACACAAAAAACATGTTTTGATTATGAGAGACTGAAATGTGGTTATGTCCCATTTGTTTCATTTAGGCCTGGTCAAGGCTTGTTCTAATGTTCTAAAAACACCACATTCGGTCTGTAAACAATATCTTACTCGAACAAAATGTACTTTAATACAAACCTCATGGACAAAAACACTAAATGTACCGCATGCTTTGATCAGTACAGCACTGAAATTAAGTCATTCTCAGTGGGTAAAAGAAGAAATGTCCCATTAACTTCAGCACAACAGCACATCTGTAAAAGTGTCAGTTGACTTTATTAGGATCGGTTTCACTCAGTTGAAGAAAAAACAACTTTTGTCTTTGGAACGTTTACCTAGGAAGAAAACAAATCTACAAAATAAGTTGCTGGAAGGACAATATATAAAACAATGGCATCAAAATAAAAAAAATAAAAAACAGGCTCAAATATTTTTGGATGCAGGGCATTTTCCTCATTTTGCCCTTTTGTTTACAAAACAATGACAAAAAGGGAAACTTAAAAAAAAAAAAAATCAATACTTATTTACAGTGCATATATTTACATTAAGGCATTTTTGCTGGGGAGAAAGACGGTTGATCTGATACAACCACCAGTTCTACACAAATAAATAGTCAGATTTACCATGATACATTACAGTGCTATATCATATTTATGCTACCTGCAGTGAATGAACAAATACAGTTATAGGTGCAGGCTGAATCATACAATCAAAGCGGACAAGCGTATGTTGAAAGGTTCACATTTGTTCTGTCTTTAAAAATACTCTCATGCCCATATGTCAATTAAAATAGTCCATTATAGTCAGTGTGACTTGACATTTCCCTAAAGCAATTTCAATGAAAGCAATGGGGAACAAAATCCTTTTTTGGTGAAAAAATAAATATCTTCCTAAGTTTAACCAAAGTCTCTTTGAGCTCAATCAATCAAAATCAGCTGGGTATCTTACAAAGTTAGTGTTTTTGATTATTTTGCCCTGATTATTTTGAAATTAGAAGCCTAATATAATCATGTTGTTTCACATATACTGTTATTTTTGTTTCCCATCATTGACATTGAACATGTTTTGATTGGGGCTAGCTGCAGGAACACTTGCAGCAACAACTCGCAACTTGCAATATACGGACATGTTGTTTCAAGAAAGACTTTAAATATTGTGAACTTCTCCTTTAACAAAACATATGTCCGTGTTTGATTGACTGATAGAACCTCAATGCAATTAGTTGTGTACAGAGTCAGAGAGAAGACTGACTGTCATTTCATTAAAAAAAAATCAACATCAGGATGTCCGTAAAGTGGCCTGAGCCAATCTGTTAAATCACAACGAATGATGGGTAAACCTGTCATTTAAAAATAATTCACTTTTTTTAGATCTTTCAATAGATTAAGAAATAAAAACAGCACCAAGTGTGTTTAAAAGGACTTTCTACATTGATCACTGCTCTGCTACCACTTAACAAAAACACATACAAATCAGAGAAGGAGGCACTTTATAAAGGTGTTGAGGATGAAGATCATACTTTGGTTAAAACGTTGAACGTAAAAAGGCTGGATGAGATAGATGTACGGATAATTGTATTTTGAAGACGCTTAATTCAAGCTTGTGCATCAAAATAAAGTCAAATTCAGTTTTAACTGAATTAATTATCAGATATGTCTACGGGTTCTGCTTACATTTCTCTGGTTGGAAATCCATCAAAAGACATCATGAATAATTTATCACCTAATTGCTGCTCTTTACCATCCATCCACCTTCCTCTGTCCTCACATCTCCTCTCTATAAAAACTAAAATCTTTCTATCTCTTCATCTCCACCCCTCCCTCATTTTTTCCTGCACTATCTTCCCTCTCCAGAGTATAAATGCTTTCAATTTTTAATATCTGAACAGCAAAGGTTTCTGTGGCGTTCACAAATATTCAGTCCAGTAGTGATAAGGATCTTTCCAGTGGTGAATGAGATGCATGGGCCAAAAAAGGCTTCGATTTAAGATTTCTAGTGCAAACCGAAGGATTTGGTAAAAACTCAAACCTGGATGTTCCAGTTATATGAGCAAACTAACAAACCATGGAGGAAAAAAAAAATGTGGTTTGACTAGTTTGCAAAAAAAAAAAAAAGCTTGAGACACATTTTGGAGCTACCATTTTCTTTTTGTTATAATTTTTCTTCTCTGTGTTTGTCCAAAGAAATCTATACTAAGTATATCTGGAGGTTAAGGGACCGGGAACTACATCTGGCAATTATTGTTCTACCTTACAACCTCCGATTCGTCCCATTCGCGTTTAAAAAGCAACATGTTTGTTAGGCTATCGTACGGTTTCAGCACAGGATAGCAGCACCAGGAGGAGCTGTGGTGTCATCAGGCAGCTTGTAATGTTGTGGAAGATGAAGTGAGTGCTTTGTGTGTGTCAACATAGTGCTTGTGTGTTTGTAGGGTGTGTGTGTGTGTGTGTGTGTGTGTGTGTGTGTGTGTGTGTGTGTGTGTGTGTGTGTGTGTGTGTGTGTGTGTGTGTGTGTGTGTGTGTGTGTGTGTGTGTATGTGTGTAAACGCTGCTAGTTCTGGTGTCTTTTCATGTGCAGAGCGAGGTGGTCGGATCGGGAGAAGGAGCGCGAGCAGACGGCGCACTGGAAGGGTTTGGCGCCCGTGTGCTTCCGGAAATGGCGCGTCAGCTCGTCGGATCGGGCGAATCTCCAGTCGCAGCTGTCCCACGTGCACCTGTACGGCTTCTCACCTGCAGGATGGAAAGAAGAAAAAGTCTGAATGAGTGCTGCGGCTCCTTTATCGAAAACTAAAACAATTATTTAGAAACCAAATCCTGAATGGTTATAAGCAGGACCTGTGAACTCATGCTTGCTATTTCTTGTCATTGTAAAAGTTACTTGTTTTGTACAAAGAAATTATTTGTTGAAAACAATTCTGCTGATGACCTAAACTTTTATTTTCATGAACAATGTACGCTAGAGGAGGGAGGACCAGAACACTTTTAAGCTTCTTCTTGCCCTTTTTGAACATGACCGGCTATTTTAGAATTTGCTTGAAAGTTTTTTATTTTGCTTCTCTTTGATTAATTTAATAATGAATTGATTAATATTATTGTTTGTTTTGTTTCCAACATGTTCAATAAATTGACTAAATAAAAAAAACAAATGGCATCACTGAGCTGAATTTCTGGTTAAATCACATGATCTTCAGCAAATAACAGAGACATGACAACAAGTGATTATGAGAACCAATTAAACTAATTATTATTAGTACAAACATTAACTCCCTTAAATACATGACTTGCTCAATTGGGTGGAGCAACTGGCAAAACAGGCTCTACTGAAAGGTAAAGTTGCATCCCATCATATACAGTCATCACGCTGTCATAGGCATTTATGAAGCACAAACGCTGCTCATGTTTCCCACGCTCAGCATTGTCTGACTTGGCTATTGTGCATTTCTCTTTGACAGATGTGGTTTGTTTCTCTGTCACTCAGTCATTCCAATAATGATTACATATAGTGCCAGCTACTTTGGGAAAACGTGTGTGAAAACGTGTGTGAAAACGTGTGTGAACAGTCTCATTCATTCACGGCACGAATCATTTTAGTTTTTATCGGCCCAGGTAAACCTGCAAACCACCCAGATACATACTTGTGACATTATATATTTAATTAATGGAACAACATGTGTATCACACCCAAGGACAAGACTTTGCAGGAAACACAATTATGTACTTCTGCGTACTGGTATTTTTAATTTAGCTCTGTCAGGTAACAATTGATACAGAATTATGATCCCTTTTCTACTTTCAGTAGTTTGTCTTTTTTTATTTCAATTTGGTGCTCAATTTCAAGTTGGCAAATACTGCTTCACAATGTAATTGATTAAAACGTGTCTTAAAAGCAAGCCACAGTTTGTTTGTAATTGTTTAAATCTCAATGCACCAAAAACATAATCCTTTTTTCCTCTATTAAACCTGAATTAAATGTGGTAAAAGCAGAAAGAGATGTAGGCACCTGGACGAATTAAAAATAAATCTGTCTGCATGCTGAATACCACTAGAGTTAAGTGAACACAATAGGATTTATTTTGTCGTCTGTGTGAACAAAACCTCAAACAGGCACAGCAAGCTCTGCAGCGTTGCTAAAACAACAGTAATGCCATTATGACATTTAAATGAACAACAGCATCAACAAATTGAGGAACACACACCTGAAAGTCAAACACAAATAGGAAAGACAATAAAATAAACACAAAAAAAGTGAACCGGGAGAACAACTCACAATACACACACGCACACAGCAACACACACACACAAACAATCAGGGTAATGGATGTTGATGGAGATTAGAGTGGGAACTCCCACCGGGACAAAAACGCATTAGGAATCATCTCATCCAGATTACTGACAGGTGTGTGTATGTGTATGTGTGTGTGTGTGTGTGTGTGTGTGTGTGTGTGTGTGTGTGTGTGCATTCAAGCAACTGAATAAGATAAGTAGAATGAGTAACAGACAAAGATAGGGGGGGAGTGTTGAAAGTGGGAGGATGGCACAAAAGAGATTGATTAGATGAATAAAAAGGAAGGGAAAAGGGGGATAAAATAACTAAGTGGGCCTGACAAAAGCAGAGAGGATCAGGAAGTTGCTGCTACATCCCTCTTTACATGGCGTGCCCTCATCTTGTGGTCTATAATAACTGCAATAACCACAATCAGCCTGCAGCATGAATGACGCCAGATTTAATTGTCGTGTCATGTTCCCAAAAACGAAATGTGAGGCACGCACACCCACAACAGTATTCTGAACAAGCAGTGCAGACTCATAAGTGAAACAAACTCTGGATCCTAAAGTGGTAAGAAGGGGATTGGTGTGTGTTTGTGTATCCATACGAGTGAGGAGAGCGTAGATATCAACAGAAGATTTGTTTTGTTAGCTGGAGTGAGGTGGGGCCCAACACCTAAGCCCTTGTTTGTTGATTTTGCCCATCCAATAGTAATAATAGTTCAAATATAAATGTGAAGAGGGGGAGAAAGTGAAGCAAGGAAAAGGGAAAATGGACCCTGAAGTGCACACGGTGAGGATCGAAGTGGAACAAGAAGGAATTTTTGTATCTGCACCGAACAATCTCGTACATATTTATAATTTCAAAGATCCACACAATAATAAGGCATTCAAACATTGATGTCTTCACAGATCTTAAGAGAGATGGCACCATGCGTCTAACGCAGACCACATAGTTTGAGAGTCATCCCCTGGCAGAAGTGTGTCACTTCCACCTGTTTTGATGGAATAGTATATTGGGCAGAGGATGGGAATGGGGTTGGATACATTTACACACACATGCCAGGAACACAACACTCTGCCTAGCAACTTGGTGCCAGTGCAGATACCGAAATACAAGTCGCGTGGGCAGCGTATTTTTCCCTGTTTAAAAAAGATGCATTAATTGGAGGAATGTCTTACCCGTGTGGGTCCTGAGGTGGGCTTTCAGATGGGACGACTTGGTGTAGACCTTCTTGCAGCCTGACGACAGAGAGAAGGATAAACACAAACAGAAGTGTCAGATATGTGTTTACCCAATGCGCTGAGTAGTGGCATGCTAGAAATGTGAACTAATGAACAACAGAAGCTGTAAACATTTGTTTTTTCTATTCTGATTTATCAAAAGTAAACGTGACTGTGTAAATAAGGGGCACACATGCTTCTCGTATTAAAACTGTTTTCATTTGGGCGTATTTAAAAATAAACTGCATGCCAATAATCACACGCTTTTTTTTCTAAACATATTCTGACATCCAAGTCAAAATATTTTAAATACAGAAAAACATGACCCTTTTCACAAAATGAACAGTGTGCGTGGAAACATTCTGAAAAGATTTAGGATTTTGATTGATTTAGAAAGATGTTTTTTCGGATCTGTTCTGGCTTTAAATGAAAATATTACATTTCACATATTGAAAACATGTAAAGAGTGAACAGCTGCTGCAGTGAGACTAATATGATACACTTGGTTAGAGTGTGGATGTGTCCTTGTGTGGATATGATGGATCTGCCTCACCTGACTTGTGGTAACATGCTGCAGGAGGCTCGGCTTAATCCTATTTTACACGCTGCCACAGGCTAGTTGACATTACATGTCCTACAAGTAGCTGCACATCGTACAAGTGCAATCTGAACCAACTATCTAAAGTGTGACTGTATGCAAATTACTTGTTGTGGAGAGAAGATCAAATGACTCCAGGAGAACATTCAATTAATTACACCCACGCAGGTTCATTCCACAATCATACCAGCAATGTCTTAAAAGCCACAACAATATGTGAGAGCTCGAGAGTGCCCGAGTCATTTGAGGTGAGACAATAAAAGCAAGGTAGTTATAATACCAGAAGGTTAATTGTAAGGCAGTGATTGACGTTCTGCATTGCCAAAATATTTTAATGCTAGTGCAGCGTGTACACTGCCGTGGCTGTAGTACATATCGTGACTCATAAGCCTGGGAAATCGTTTTACACACAACATATAATTTTTCCAAAATGCACGGGTGTCTCAAAATAGATCTGTTTTTTCTTACAGTTTGTGAGTGACCAAATATTCACCTGACCACAGCTCAATGTAAGAATAAACACACAGTGAGAAGAATCAGAGAGCTGTGTAATTGTTCTGACCTGGGTAATCACAGTGATGGATCCGTCGTTTCTCCAAATCGGGGTTGTTCCTCCGGTTGTAGCGGGCAGACATGGTGTTCTGGGCTGGAGTTGGGGTTGTTGCAGGTACTTGGGGAACGCCTGAAGCTTGGCCTGGGGACGGAGTGGGAGCTGTGGTGAGGGGGAGGGCTAAGCTGCCTGGTCCTGGGCCGGGGCCTATCCCAGGGGGGCTGCCTGCCAACTTGGAGGCGATGGTGGCTGCATATGAGGGAGGAGGGGACATGGTGTGGAGCAGCTCCTTCTGCCTGTCAGGGCTGCCGGGCTCCGAGCTCGGGGGAGAGGGCGGCAGGTAGGGCGTCTGGTGCTGGAGGAAGTGGGGGTGGGCCTGAGCGTGGGGGTGTGTGTACCCCCGGCCACCCAAGCCGCAATACGCAGGCTTGGCTGTCTGCTCTTGTTGAGACGCAGAAGAAGCTACCGGCATGTCATGGAAAGGTGTGTGGATTGTGGAAGTGTGCTGTATCTGCTGATGATGATGGTGGTGATGATGATGATGCTGAGCCTCCATACCATTGCCATGGTGATGGTCCAAGCCGGAGTTCAGTAGCTGAAACAGTGAGCCGCTGTTGTCATGGTGGTGGAGAGCGTGCTGTTCAAACTGCGGTGACATTTCCTGTTTGATGAACACTTCTGGCACCGACTCGTCACCGCGGCCGCCTCCCGCATGGTTAAAAACACTGGTGAAGTCCGGTAACCCTGTTAGCGTCATGTTTATGGCTGAGGTTTCCATGGCAATGCTGCCGGGGCCATGCCCAGATGTGCTGCAGCTACTGGTGGGCGTTGTGTTGGGGCAGTGCAGCTGGATGTTGGGGGAGAAACACGGGGAGGCAGATTCTGTTTTGATTTGGGTGAGACCTGTATGGTTCTGCTGCTGAGGCGGCCGCACCTGCTGACACAAGCCCATCCTCAGGTAGGCGGCGTCGGGGAGGTAAAGATTCATGTTGAGGGTGTAGGGAGTCCCTGTATGGTTGTCAGTGAAGAACTGATCCAGCGCGGACACACAGTCTCTCTGATTCTTCTGCTGGCTTTCCGAGTGAGGTTGAAGTGGTAGAGACTGAGGGGAGAGGTACCTGTCCATCTCAAACTTTGCCTGTAGATAGAAACACAAACAAAACAGTCTAGTTTAGAGACATTTCATTTTGAAGAAAACTTTGGTTGAATCAAATGTTTTCAGCTTGCTTCTCATGAGCTACCATGAAACCATTCTGAGGCGCTATTTAGAGAAGACAAAGGTTTGATAGGACAGTCACCGCTAAAACATTTATCAAGTAGTCATCAATAGGCAGTTCCTACATTCCACATTGACTCTCTGGCTGCGAAAGCTGAACTCAGGAACCCATCAGCTGTGAGGCCAACAGTTGAGAATCAGGCCATGGAAATAAGAACTAATACCACTAGAAAAAACCCTTATAAATGTCCACAACTGCAACTATGACAACAGACTAAAGAAGCAAACTCGGGCTGATCCAACTGGAATCACAGGTGGACAACTTGATGTCAAATAGGGCCTTTTTCACTCTGCCTATTTCCTGTGAATATTAAGGCAGGTATAAAAGTTAGAGAAGCCCTGCAGCAGAGGATGAAACAGCAACATGAAAGGGAATAGGGAAACACCCATGCCTCTCTATCCGCAGCAGCAGCAGCAGTAGTCTGGGGATGGGCTGCTATTTCTAGGCTCCTGATCCACCAGCTGTTATATTGCACTCTCTCCTCTGCTGCACAAGTTTCCTGCTAACTGGGGACAGAATTGCCGGGAGCTTTCTGTCCGGAGCTGGAGTCAGTTGTTGTCAGCGTGGTATGATGGTGAGGGGGGGGAGGAGACCAACAACTGGTGGCCAACTGGCTGGCAGAGAAAACATGCGGTGAATGCGTTTGCAGGCGGAGCGGCTCCGTCCAGCTGGCCGCAGCCTGCTCGCTAATCACCGAAAATAGTGCAAAAGAAAGTCGAGGTTAACACCAGCTAGGCCGATGGAAATTTAGAGGCCAGCTAAATAAACTGGATCTACAACCTATCTGCCACGCCCATTCAATGAAATACATCAAGTCGGTTTGATTTCTACCCGGTTTACCTGTGCGTAGTCATTGTGTCCAGTCTTGTCTGTTTCTGTGATCTTGCAGTCCAAGCCGAACAACAGCGAGTCCTCCAGGGGGAATCCTGCGGGCAGAGCCGCCTTCTGCAGCGGGTAGAATGGGTCCTCCTGCCCGCCGCCGCTCATCGCCAGGGTCGCGGCCATGAAGCTCGGGTGCAGCGCCGCTCAGGATCGCTCGTCCTTTTCTGCTAAAAGGAGGATGCTACAGCGGAGTGAGAGGAGTGGAGCCGACGAGGTGGAGAGCGTGAGGTGGAGTTAATAATGTGAGCCTGCCTGCTACATCCCCTTCACTTGTTTCATCCCTCCACCGGCCCACAGACAGTTTCTATCTCCTGCTACAGGGCGGAGCGACCCAGTGTAAATACTGCACATGCACCGCCCATCAAGCGTTTAGGCTTTGATCATTCATTCACTGGCCACCGCCCTACTCCATCTAAATACACTGACAACAGTGTCGTAAACTAGGCTACAGGACCTGCCTGACAGACAGCATTCACAGCCATAGAGGAAGTCAAGGTTAATTCAAGTTTCCCCTCCAGTGTTTTTAGTTTATATCAAATATGTATTTAAACTTATATAGATAATCTCTAATAGGAATATTATATTGTATCTAAATACCTGGTCTATTCTTGCAATTAAAGTCACTTTTTAAACCTGATAGTCCCAAAAGATACACAAATAAAACACGAATGGGCGATTTAAGGCAGCAACTAGACCCACATGCCTCCTAAATGTCCGGTTATTTCAAACCCCACACCACCAGTTGGTAATACAGACTTTAAAATGCGATCGGAGACTAGGGGTTTCACAACTACCAATATTTACTAGTCGACTAGTTTTTCAAAATAGTAGTCGACTAGTCGACTAGTCGTTAGACTGCCAAGGCACAC